ACATACTTAGAACAAATAATCACAGGCTAAATTTAGATGCCAGCGTCCCATCACCAACACAAACATGAGGAGCCAAAAACAAATACTGCAACTGTGACTTGGGGAAGAGACATTTCAGGAACTTGGATTCTGAAAAGAAATCGATGTGTCCTGAAGCCAGTTATCAGCCCATTGCTAACTGTCACGCGCTCTACTGCTGTCACCACTAGATGGGGGTCTTGTCAGTTTAGTAACTCAGAAATAGGTTTGTCTTCTGGGAATCATGCTAAAGGTGTTTTGAGATAAAATTCAGATCTCCCACACACACTACCACCACCCACCCCCAGAAGGATGCAGAGGCTCTTGCTGTCCGATATGCAGAAAATAAGTAAAATTGAACACTGAGGGAGAGGAGGAGGAATAGAAATCATAAGGGGGAGGAGGAAGGGCTAAGGCATGTCATTCTTGGGGGCTGGAGAGATGGCTCAGAGGTTAAGAACACTGGCTCCTCTTCCAAAGGTTCTGCGTTCAATTCCCAGCGACAACACGGTGGTTCACAACCAGCTGTAACAAGATCTGGTGGCCTGTAGGGATACATGCAAACAGAACACTGTATACATAATAAAAGACATGTCATTCTCTAGACTCCATACAGCTGTTGCAATCAGTAACCAACAGCAGCTGTACTGACCTGCATTGACCTCACACTAGACCACAGTCAGTCTAAGAAAGGGAAAGGCTCAGGTTCCACTCTTTACCTCTCAAATGTTGTCTATGGATGGATTGTAGGAAAAGAGTCACTACCTTTAGGTGTGTCCTCTGCAGAGCCCAGCAGGCTCCATAGATGGCTCTGTTTAATTTCAGTGTGTCTCTCAAAGCTAAATGAATGGAAATGAACACAATATTTTTTTTCAATTGTGGACCAGGGTAGTAGAGAGATAGGAAATAAGAGTGGGACAGTGTGTGTGTGTGTGTGTGTGTGTGTGTGTGTGTGTGTGTGTACCCATCAGTCCCTAATTTGGTTGTATCATTGTCTTGTTTAATATCAGGTATTATTAAGTCAGGAAGTCTTCCTTTTTTGTGCTAACAAGTATTTGAAGTAGCTTTACTATTATTGTCTCTTTGAAGTTCTGCTAGAATCCTGTAGATGGTTCTGGAGTTGTCTTAAGGGGCATTTTATAACAGCTTCAGTCTCATTTCTACTTGTAGTTCTATTTACATTATTTACTTTATGTTGCCTTAATTTGATGTGTTGTATGTACCTGGAAACCAATAAATTTTAGTGAGAGTTTCCATTTAAGTGGAAAGAAGTCTTTAACATCAGAAGAAATAAGATCGTCTATCATTTATGTTAGGCCGTTACCTTGGGTAATTTTCAAGACATGAAAAGAAAAAGTTATGTGTACTTGGGCAAGGTCATGCAAGCCTTAAACCTAGCACTCAGGAGGCAGGATCAAGGGGAACTCTGAGTTCTATGCCAGGCTGGTCTACACAGTAAGTCAGCTGGCAATACACAGAGTGACTCTGTCTCAAAATAAACTCATCCCTGATGAATAATATTTATGCGACCAGAAGCACAGTGCAAGCTTCCAGAGGAGGGAGCCAAGCCACAGTCCTAGGCAGCTATGGTGCTTATGATCCACATCAAAGATCATCATGGCAGGGTATCTGAAGGGTGCCGTAGTAGCCAGCACACCTTGGTGGTAACCAAAGCTCTCTAATTGGACCTAAGACCCTCTTCACAGAAGGGAAGCGTGACTGGTACTGGACACCTCATTACCTACTCGGTGCTGGTGTGAGGCTTAGAGACTCTGTGCCTCGCAGATGAAAATCAAGTAAACATGGGCAAAGGAGATCCTAAGAAGCCGAGAGGAAAAATGTATCCTTTGTGCAAACCTGCCGGGAGGGACACAAGAAGAAGCACCCGGATGCTTATGTCAACTTCTCAGAGTTCTCGAAGAAGTGCTCAGAAAGGTGGAAGACCATGCCTGCTAAAAAAAAAGGGGGGGGAGGATTTGAAGACACAGCAAAGGCTGACAAGGCTAGTTATGAAAGAGAAATGAACACCTACATCACCAAAAAGAAGTTCAAGGACCCCAATGTACCCAAGAGGCCTCCTTTGGCCTTCTTCTTGTTCTGTTCTGAGAATCACCCCCAAACCAAAGGGGAACACGCTGGCTTGTTCATTGGTGATGTAGAGACTGGGAGAGATTCGGAACAGCACTGCTGCAGAGGACAAGCAGCCCTACGGAAAGAAGGCTGCCAAGCTGAAGGAGAAGCACGAAAAGGATATTGCTGCTTTCAGAGCTAAAGGAAAACCCGATGCAGAGAAAAACGGGGTGGTCAAAAGCATTTAACCCCCTGTATGCAACTCACTCCGTTTAAAGAAAAAGAAACTGAAATGTAAGGCTGTGTAAGATTTGTTTTTAAACTGTATGATGTCTTTTTTTTTTTTTGTATAGTTAATACACTAACAAAAATGTCTTAAAATAGCCCTGTCCTGGTGGTATTTTCAGTAGCCACTAACCTTGCCTGGTACAGTCTGGGGGCTGTAAATTGGCATGGAAATTTAAAGCAGGATCTTGTTGGTGCACAGCACAAATTAGTTATATATGGGGACGGTAGTTTTTTTGTTTTGGGTTTTTTTCATCTTCAGTTGTCTCTGATGCAGCTTATATGAAGATAATTGTTCTGTTAACTGAATACCACTCTGTAATTGCAAAAAAAAAAAAATTGCAGTTGTTTTGTTGACATTCTGAATGCTCCTAAGTAAATACAATTTTTTTGTTAGAAAAAAAATGACAACTAATGAAGATGTAGAGTTGTGGAGGCCAAGCCCAGTGGATCCATTTATAGAATATTCCTGCACCTAAGGCTCGAGCATCATTTTTGAGGAGGGGGTAGAAAGAGTGTAATAACCATAACCATAGATTCAGGCAGTTTGTCGTGAGATTGTCTCCTAACAATGCAAGAAGTGGCTTAAATAAAGTCTTCACCACATGACCTCCCAAATGGAAGCTGAGCAAGGGCACAGACAAGGGACACGCCAAATTGGATGGGGAAAAGCCCACAGGCCTCAACCCTGCACAAATAACTACAGACAACTGAGGAATACTGGGAGCAGGGGAAATGCTTTTCCCTGGGGAAGAGCATCTAATTGACTATCCAGCACCAAATGGTCAGCCTTGAAAGGTCAGCTCAAGGGAGATGTCTATGAAGAAGCTACATGGGAACCTCTCATTTTACAACCCAACTGGAAACATAATGAGAGCATAGTAGAACACATGTGTGAAAAAGAATGAGCCCTGGATGATGTACACTGAATGTTCAGCTGGGCATGGAACAGGAAGAAAGGAGGAGGAGGAGGAGGAGGACCCGTCAAAAGGAAGGATGTATGAAGAAGCCTTATGAAAACCACAGTCTTACAAACTAATAGGAAATACAATTTTTAAAACTTTGGACAGAGCCAGGCGGTAGTGGCGAACGCCTTTAATCCCAACACTCGGGAGGCAGAGGCTGTGGTTTCACAGTGAATTTTAGACCAGCCTGGTCTACAAGAGCTAGTTCCAGGACAGCCTCCAAAGCCACAGAGAAACCCTGTCTCACAGCGCCCCCCCCCCAAACAAAAACAAAACTTTGAAGAGGTATCCTACATGCATAAATAACGCTGCTCCCAGACACTAGAGCTATTAAATGGCACTCTCTGTACCTGCTAATGTTTATCTGCCAAGGATTTACTGGTCAGAGAGGCCCCAGGGGCACCCAAACAAAACAGGTCACTGCCAGTCCTCTTGCTTGGTGATTTTCATAGCTGAAGGTACCAAAACAATTTGGTTGCATTCTTGAACTTATCAGGACTCTCCATGCTGGCTAGCTTTTGTAATACAAGGCATTGTGAGGGCTGTTGGCAGAGAAAAGATGTCAATGGTCTAACCTGCCCTGGACCCTGCATCCTACATTACCAACCTACAAGCCAGGATGTGAGCACTGGGTCGATACTGGCACAGCTGCTTCTGGGCATAACAGACCTCTCGATTGAATTTGAGGCTTGCTTCGTAGAGGGGAATTCATGCCCTGTAAAAACCATGGCTTGGGGAGTACAGGCCAAGAGCAGAAACTATTGATGTTTTGTTAATGACCATGTTATTTATCTGCCATCTAAGTATTCATGGTTATACTCATTAATCTATACTACTCTCAGCCTTGGTGAAAGAAGTCTCCTTTGCAGTTGGTAGTGGGCAATGTGCAGACTCATAACTGTTCAGAGAGTACTAAGAACAATCAACTGTGCAAGATTGGGACAATTGGTAGGGGGAGGGTTTCTATGAGTCTCCTTTCATTCCGGGAGAGTCTAGTAGCTATTAAAGGTATTAAAGCTATTAAAAAATATATATGAGTGGATTCTTCCCCATTTTTCTTTAGTACTTCAAAATGAATCTATGTATGCCCTTGGGGATTTCTTCGTTGTTTTGTTTTTTGAGATAGGGTTTCTGAGAGTTCAGTCTGCCTTTGGTTCCAGAGTCCTGGGATTAAAGACATGCACCACCACAACCTTAGCCTTTTGGGGTTTTGTAAGCTGTGTATAAGCATGCACATATTAACACATCCACAGTCTATCTCTTTATAGTTTTTCACCTTCTTGCTATTAGTAAGTGTAACAGGGCCCCAACCTTAGTAGGCCCCCAGACCTTAGCACAACTGACTCCAGGATGGAAGTGCCATTCGGGATGTAAAACTCAGCTCGTTGACACCACCACCTGCCAAATACTAAAACAAAGGCCTGATCCATCAAAGTTCATATAGTTCTGGGAAAGTCTCAAAACGTACTAACCTTGCCTTTTAGCTTCTAATGTTCTGCATCTGGCTAACTGTTCTTGTTAAATGAAGTAGTTCAACCCAGAACACTGTTTTTATGCTCAAGGGTTCTCCCTGAGAAAGGCTAGGTGCTACAGTGGGATCTTGAACACCCAGTGTAGTCACTGGTGACTAATAAAAAAGACGTTCTATTGGCTGAAAACCTTGTTCAAGCAGTCTTCTCTAGAAAATCCCACAAAGGTAAGGCTGGACTCACATCTGGAATATTTCAAGGTCAAGGAAAAATAAGACTTTAGGAGAGAATTTTCTTGTGTTTTCTTTTACTGTGAATTGACTATTATGTGGGCAATTTCAGCACTGGGGAAAATATTTATCAAATTGAATGCATTCCAAGGGAGGAGTTTCACACATGGGAATAATATGGTATACCTTCAAATGATTTCTCAGAACTATCATTTTTTTTTTCTTTTGGTTTTTCGAGACAGGGTTTCTCAGTGGCTTTTGAGGCTGTCCTGGAACTAGCTCTTGTAGACCAGGCTGGTCTCAAACTCACAAAGATCCGATTACCTCTGCCTCCCGCGTGCTGGGATTAAAGGCATGCACCGCCACCGCTGCACACTTTGTCATTTTTTAAATGTTACTACGTTTTGTCTTCATTATGATTTTTTGTTGTTATTTAGACAGTGTTTATGTAGTCCTGGCTGTTTGGGAACTCACTGTGTAGACCAGGATGGCTTCTGACACAAAGATCTTCCTGGCTTTGCCTCCTGAGTGCTGGGATTAAAGGTTTGCCCCACCACACCAATCATTATTATGAATTTTCAGATGTTGGACACAATAATTTTCTTTATTACAGCTTTTCCAAGGGCCTGAAGATATGGATTAGTGGTTAGGAGCACTGGCTACTCTTCCAGAAAACTGGGGTTCAATTCTAAACATATATAGCAGGTCACAATTTTCTGTGAACCCAGATTTAGGGGATCTGATGACCTCTTTTGGCCTCTTCAGGCGCCAGGCACACATGTAGTACACAGAAATACATACAATGCAACAATACAAAAAACAAAACAGAGAAACAAAAACAGAAAAACTTCCCGTAGAATTTTATTTTCATATAAACCCTGTGCAATGTTTTAAAGACTTAGACCTTCATTAAAGACATTCACAAGTTTTGTATCTTTGTTTCTATTATTGCGATTTCTAAGCAGAGAATTCCAGATAAAGCTATGTCACATTCTTTGCAATGGTATTTTTTTCTTTAATTTGAATTTTTCTGATGCCCTCTAAGATTTAAAATCGGGATAAAGGACATGTCACATTCTTTGCATTTTAAGGTCTCTAGCAAGTATGAATTTTCTGATGTATTCTAAGATGTGAGTTACGGGTAAAGGACTTGTCACATTCCACACATTTGTAAGGTTTCTCTCCAGTATGAATTTTCTGATGCTGTCTAAGAGTTGAGCACTCAGTAAAGGACTTGTCACATTCACTACATCTGTAAGGTCTCTCTCCGGTATGAACTCTCTGATGTGCTCTAAGATGTGAGTCCTGGGTAAAGGACTTGTCACATTCCCTACATTTGTAAGGTTTCTCTCCAGTGTGCATTTTCAGATGCCGTTTAAGTGCTGACAACTGATGAAATGACTTTCCGCATTCTCTACATCTGTAAGGTCTCTCCCCAGTATGAATTCTCTGGTGTGTTTTCAGATACGAGTCCTGGGTAAAGGATTTGTCACACTGCCTACATTTGTAAAGTTTCTCTCCAGTATGAATTTTCTGATGACTTCTAAGATTTGACGTCACAGTAAAGGATTTGTCACACACCTCACACTTGTAAGGCTTCTCCCCAGTGTGGATTTTATGATGCCTTCTAAGAGTTGAGTTCAAGGTAAAGGATTTGCCACATACCTCACACGTGTAAGGCTTCTCGCCAGTATGGATTATGTAATGCCTTTTAAGATGTGATAAGTCAAGAAAGGACTTACCACATTCTTTACATTCGTACAATTCCTCTAGTGAATGACTTTTCTGATGCCTTCTAAATGACGAATAGTGGGTGAAGGAACTGTCACACTCATTGCATTTGTAAGGCTTCTCCCCAGTATGGAGTCTGTAGTGTCTCCTTAAGTGTGAAAGCCAATGAAAGACTTTACCGCATTCTTGACACCTACAATGTTTCTCAGCAGTATGGATTTTCTGGTGTCTCCTGAAGTTAGAATAGTGGGCAAAGGATTTGTCACACTCCTTACACGTGTAAGGCTTCTCTCCTGTATGCATGTTCTGATGGCTTTTGAGTGCTGAGGACTGATGAAAGGCCTTTCCACATTCTCTGCACTTGTAAGGCTTCTCTCCAGTATGGAGTCTTTGATGTGTTTTCAGACTTGAGCACTGGGTAAAGGATTTGTCACAAACGTTGCACTTGTAGGGTTTCTTTCCAGTATGAATTCTTTGATGCTTTGTAAGAGTTGACTTCACAGTAAAGCATTTGTCACAGTCCTGACATTTGTAAGGCTTTTCTCCAGTATGAACTCTCTGATGGACAGTGAGGCTTAACGCAGTACTGAAGTATTTCCCACATTTCCCACATTGGTGTGGTTTATCTCCAATGGAGAATTTTTGTTGCAAACAACTAAATGTAGAGTCAAAATGTTCATCACATTCTCCCTGACTATGATCTTTCTCTGCAGTGAAGAATCTCTGATCTTGAGTAATGCTGGAACACAAATTTAAAGATTTCTCACAGTCTTTAGATTGGCAAGGTTCTTCTCCACTGTGCATGCTTTCATGTCTCTCTGGGTTTGATGAGTCAACAGAGGCATCTCTGTGATTACTGCATGTGTAGTTATTGGAGTTTTCTGTAGTTTCACTTGTTCTATAAAGTGCACATGTGGAGGGATCATGAGGCACTTTGCCAAGCTCATTACACCGACAAGACTCCTTTTCAGTCTTCACATGCTGATAGACAAGGTCACACTTGTAATAGTTCTCTGAAAATGAGTACAGTTCAGATTAATAGGGCTTGTTCCAAGATTAAACATTTGATATATAACTGTTGTTGGTATTCAGGCATCTGTACTGGCCTGTCCTTGGTGTTCTGACAGGATTTGCCTTCAGCTGCAGCCACTAAGAGACCCACCTGTGCATATTCACTACATTCCCTTTTAAAAGGGCCCTGGCTACCTCCCATCCTTCTCTATTTCTCTCTCTCTCTCTCTCTCTCTCTCTCTCTCTCTCTCTCCTCTCTCCTTTCTTCTCTCCTTCCCCCCACACCCACACCACACCACACACACACACACAGCTGGTCTCCCCTTTCCCCCTTTTATGATCCCTTTCTTTCCCTAATAAAACCATCTCTTGAACCCTGCCTCATGGCATCTTTCTCTCACAGTGCTGCATTTCTTAAATTACAGCACTCTCCCTGAGTTCTCTCTTAAGATAAGCCACCAGCAACTATTTAGAATAGAGCTCACAGCAGTCAACTTTTTTCATCACTGCAATTTATGGACAATAGAGTGATAGCCTTCCAGGAAGTTGAAGCAGATAACTGAGGAATCATTAATTAGCTGGGGGGAGTTTGCTGACTGATTATATTTAGAATATATGTTGCTATTGTTAAATATTTTTTCTCAGAAATTAAGAAGAGTTTAATCAAATCCCAGGTTCACAGTGTTTACTTACTTATGTACAGCGATGAAGATTATAGTTCAGAATACCCAATTCCTTTTTTTCTTTTGAGACAGGGTTTCTCTGTGGCTTTGGAGGCTTTCCTGGAACTAGCTCTTGTAGACCAGGATGGTCTCAAACTCATAAAGATCCACCTGCCTCTGCCTCATGAGCGCTGGGATTAAAGGCGTGTGCCACCACCACCTGGCCAGAATACCCGATTCCTTTTAAGATTAAAGGCTTATTGAAAAGCATCAAAGGGTTTATATTTTTCTTAAATAACATGTTAGATTCTTCAAAAGTAAAAGAGGCACAGGAGTATCATATCAGAATCTCTAAATCAGTGGTTCCCAACCTGTGGATCATGACTCTCTGAAAACACATTATTTCTGATGGTCTTAGAAACCAAGGCATCATTTAGTAGCAACGTTACAGTCAAGAATTAGGAACAACTGCTGGGTGGTGGTGGCGCATAACCTTTGATCCCAGCACTCAGATGGCAGAGGCAGGCAGATCTCTGTGAGTTCGAGACCAGCCTGGTCTATAAGAGCCAGTTCCAGGACAGCTTCCAAAGCCACAGAGAAACCCTGCCTCGGAACCCCCCCCCCCAAAAAAAAAAGCAACCAAAAAACAAAAAATGATTTTATGATTGGGAGTCAGCAAAACATAAAGGAACTTTACTAAGGGGTTGTAACGTTACCAAGGTTGAGAACAACTGCTCTTGATCATTAGCAGCAGGGCTATCATGAGAAGCTAGTGATAATTTCTATCCACCACTGACATACATGCAAGGAAGGCAATTACAGAATAATCCTACCTTATCTACTCCTGATCAACTTGAGGATTTATAAAATTATTTCAATCTCATACCAGAATAGTCAAATAAAATTTCATTTTGTACTAGTATTAAATCACCAAAATTCAGGTGCAATAAAACACATCTTCTAACAATTACAACAAGAAGGATGCACAGGACACTATACTAAGTTCAATTATCAGGAATCCTTTCAAGTGGAATTGAATATTGAAAAAGCATTGTTAGTGCTTTCTTAGTCGTTCACCTGATCACTAGCCCACCCTGGTGGTGGGTACTCTCTCCTCTCCACATATCAGGGCAATCTCATTTGCTCCAGACAGCTGACCAGGCCTACCTTGCATACAATAACCCATGTGTTCTATGAGGCGGCCCATGATGCATGCTAGAACTTTTAGAAAGAATACAGATATCTAACATAGTACTATGCTCAGTACATAAAGAGAACACACAGTAGAGGAATGTAGGAATAATTTTCCAATTGATATTTCCTGTCAGAATCTTTACCATATTTAGGGGGAATTTTCAGTTTGCACATCTTGCTTTTTTCTCACAACTAAAACAATGTCAAGTGCGATGGCAGACATGGAGCTTTAAGCTATGAATGCAAATATATGCTACTGTGTTTCTGAATGCATCATGTAACCAAAATGAAGGACGCACCTATAAAATGGAGAAGAGATAGAAAAAAAAAAAAAAAAAACACCAAGAAAAAGTTCTTTTCTACTGCCAAGCATTCCTAGTCTCCTGTTGTTTCTGAGACAGCTTAGCACAGAGTTTACAATCTGTAAAGTCAGTACAAAGCCTGAATTAAGAATTCTACGAGCAAAACGTTCTTACCCACATAGAGCAGATTGTTGTAATTCTCCAACATAACATCAGTGTACAAAGCCCTCTGAGTAGCGTCCAGGCATTGCCACTCCTCCTGGGAAAAGTCCACAGCTACATCCCTGAGTGTCAACACACCCTGAAACAAAAAGTACAGTTTGTGTTTTTACTGGACAGAGTGCTTTCCTGGATATTAGGAGACTTAATGAAATTAGGGATGTAGATGAGTGAAGACAATTGCTCAAAAAAGATGATTTCTAATATAGTCACCCTATAGTGGGTTTTTTCTAATTTTGTGAAAGCAGAATGACACAACAGTCTCCCAAAGCAATATACATGAAAAAACACACATTTAAGGTCCAGACACAGTCATCTGTCTGTTATGGATGCTGTGCTGAGTTGCAAATAATCACATAGGACATGTTTCAGAAGAACAATTTATGAGGAAATCTGCTTTGGAATGTTGTGCCTGAAGTTCATGCTAAAATACTGACATTGAATCATCCTATCTGTTCTAAGGTCTTACAAGATTCCATTATAACATGCATATGTTGAGACTCTAGACTCTAGGTCCAATGCCACACCATTAAAGAGTAAAGGGGTAGATAGGGAAGGAAAAATTTATGATTAACTACATAGTTAAAGGGTTTGGGTTTTTTTTTTAACCACAGTATAAAGGAACATAACAACACTGTATACTGTGAATTTTAACTTTAACATATAAAATCAAGTAGTATATGAAATTAATTTTATGAGAATATTGGGCCACTACCAAGCAGATAGAATAATCAGCATCAACCACATTTGATATAATCCAAAATTTTCTAAAAATATGCAGAAGTTGGCTTAGACAAATAATTTCAGAAGTTTTGAAGACTTCACTTGCAAAGAGTTATAAAAATTGATGGAAGTCCAAAAACATATTAAATATTTAAGTTACAGCTCAGCATGTACACATAACTGTAGCGTGGATGGGTTCAGAAGTGACATAAGATTTCCTGTCAGTAAATGAATATATTAAATTCTCTGAGAATTATGGTCATTCTTTTAGAGCTTTGCAAATACAATGTAGCTGAAAAACAAATGACTCAAAGAGAAAATTTGCACTGCTGTGGGATAACAGAATGTGATAGAGCCCCCAGAAAGAAAACTATTAATCCATTCCTACTTAATATTTGGCAAAGGAGCAAAAAGATACATTAGAAAAATATAGTCTTTTCAGCCGGCTGGGACTGGTCAGGGCCGGTGAACCTCTGTGCCTTATGGTTCTGCGA